AACAAAAGTGTTATTGTCAATGACTACTTATTTTTGTCCAGCTTTAACATCAGTATCGACATCGGTTATCGGCTACATGAGTTTTAAAATATTGGCATATCGGATATCGGCCAAAATCCCAATATCGTGCATCCCTATTTTAGAGTATAGTTTATCATCATAAAAAATTCTATTTACAAAAATGTCAATTTCCTCACACCACAGCACATGTCTCCAAAATGTAAATCTTTATCCCTGTGTTTAATTGCTAATTATTATCAGGAGGAATGGCTTCTTCAGCCACAATTGGCCTTTCAGCTCATGTTGATCCAGGAATCACTTGGATAAAGTTACTCTCCTCTTTAAAAAGGCCTTTATCGCTGTTCTGGGGTTGATTAGGACAATTGTGACTAAAAGATATTAATCTCCAGGACATAGGTCATGCTTATCCTGTTTAGAAAAATGGCTGGACTTTCCCTTTTTACTGCTATCATGCCCATCCTGATTTCTGTTTTCCATGATGGAAGCATGGCGGTTGATATGCTGCCTTTATGTGGCCCTCCATTTACCTCAGATGTTGTCAGAAAAGTACAAATCCATGACATCATCCTCTGACATTTCCTAAACCGTGGTCATTTTAGTGTAGTTAATGAAAGCAATAGAAAAAATGAAAAGACGATGGTTCGTTGAATTATTCTAAAGCTTATAATTGTGGCAATCTTCACTCTTATTAATTAGTCTAAACTGGAGGTCTTCAAACAGGGGGTCCATGGAGGTACTGCATGGGGTCGCAAAAATTTTGGTTGGTTAGACTTATCTTTATATTCCCCCCTACAATTTTTTTCCACTATTTGAAATGTCTTTAAATAAAGGTTAACACGAATTCAATACACTGTAGTAAATAGATAAATGGAGGCAATAAGCTGGTGAAGGTTCTCAGTCATCCAGGTCATAGTCATTCCGAAAAAAATTAAAAACAATCCACTGGACTTGGTTTCCGAGTTTCCTGGATGGGAAGCGAAACGTCTTTAAACTCGGAAACCAAGTCCAGAGGATTGTTTTTTTTATGTTTTTTGGAATAAATGGAGGCAGAAGATGTCTTTTATTCATCAATGCACACATTCAGTAACACACAGGAGCTCTTTCAAGCTGGGCGCAGTTTCATTCACAACACCTGTCCCATCAACCAGGATTCAACATCAGAAATACTTTAATAATCCCAGGGTGAAAATACTTTTGTTACATTACTCCATCTGTAATAGAGTGACTATAGGACCAGTTTGATATACAGTAACACAATTTCAAACAATATATATAATTAGTGGGTCCCCGCTCCATTTCGCCATCAGTCTGGAAAATGTTTAAGACCCCTGGTCTAAACTGTTGTCAGTAAGTTAGGGGAAAATAAGGTATGTCCCTGAATGCAGCATATGTCTACCTGGTTTGTCCATGCCCAAACCTGAGAGCTGTAAGTTAGAAGTCAAAACGTTTACTTCAAATCTAAATGGGTTTTATACAAAAGGATGTTGTACTTGTAGGAGCCATTTATAGTTGTTGGTGTTTAGGTATTGTTTGTTTCTGGGTTATTTGTTTTGGGTGGTGGTGACCTATATTCTGCTCTACCACTGGTGGCGGTGTGGAGGGGAAGGCTTTATAGGTAAGACGTGAGAGGGCAGAAAGGGTTTTGGGTGACAGGAGGTCATACGGTTTTTACCGCTTTCTTAGGCCCACAATAGCCTGCGTCCTCTGGTTAAATTCTGTTATTTTCACATTCTCCATAGTTACCTGTCCATCTCACTTGTTGTAAAGACCGCCACTCGGATTGTTTGGAAAGTTTGTTCATATACAAACGTACTTCAATAAATGGGAACGCCCATACCTTATATCCTGGTTTCGACATCCTCTTTTAAGCGTGTTAAATTCCAGATTCCCCGCACCCACAAGCGACAAAAAGGTGGTTGATAGTAGCTACAGTACTTTTTGCGTAAAATGCAAAAGGAAAAGAAATATATAAGCTGTGCTGCTGCCATCAACACCTTTGTTTATAGATATTGGAGACCTGTCTGTTTTTCAGTGTAGTCCTGTTTCTCTGACTGTGACTGGCTGGATGTGCTCTCTTCCTCCTCTCACATGGGAGCTGGCTCGAAGCTCATCTGCCTGGCTGTGTGTTTCCTGGACGGGGCTGCCTTTTACAGCTGCTTTTTGTATCTCTGCTTCTGTCTCCTTAAACCCCAGTCGGCCTCGGCAGATGGCCGCTCACAATGAGCCTGGTTCTGCTGGAGGTTTCTTCCTGTTAAAATAGAGTTTTTGCTCTCCACTGTCGCTACAAGCATGCTTAGTGTTAGGGATTGCATTGGAGTCAATGAGTCGATGCAATCAACTGGTTTTCCTTAGATAGAAAACTTTGAATCAATTTGACTATATGATCTGGTGAACTGTAAATTACCTTGAGATTAATTGAATTAAATTACTTAAAACTAACTTGAAGCCTTTAATTTAGAGGGTTCTCTGTTTAAAACATGGTTGTATTAAAGCAATACATCCAAAGTAAGGTACTGCACGTTTTAAAGGAACTGTAAATCAAGAAATTATATCAGCCAGAAAACTTATAGCAATGAGGCAAAGCTGTGATCTTTCCCATGGTGGTATCAGTTCCTGAACACATGCTGTGTTTGTTATTTACTGCTGCACATTCCTGCATAGTGGCGTGTTTCAATAAAAGCGGTTAAATTCAAGCCTCGGTTTGTAACCTGAGAAGCAGGCTGACAAGTTTGGAGTCTGATCGGGGTGTGGGCACTCTGCTAGAGAGAGGATTTACATTAGAAACAGTCCCTCCGTGTCAAAAGGAGGGTTTTATTTAATTTGACACAGATCAGCCGGTTTGATCAGATTTACTGATAAATATCGGGTTTCAAGTCGAGGCGAGCGGATGTCTGAGAAGACAGGGGAAGAAAGACGAATCGAAATAATAAAAGGAAGACACATAGTGGGGGTATTGTGATAAAAGCCATCAGGGCATTTTCAGCTGTCATCAGTACCTACCAGGTCTGAGTGCCATGCTGCCGTCCTTCCTGCTGCACCACAGAGCCTGGTCCCCGCTCTGAAGAATGTACTCGTCCTTAGCTTGAAATAGCTCCATTGTTTTCTTTAAATCCCCCTTTTCTTCTCAAACCAAACCCCCGTAACCGAATCTGTCTCCAGGGACCAGTCGCGGTTCTTCCTCGTCTCGGAGGTGAACACCGGAGCTAGCCTAGCCGCGGTTAGCTCGTTTTCTCTTCAACGGCTGCCCACTGATGGGATACGGCGGCTAGCTGCGTCCACAGCTAACAGCCGCTGGATCCGTGTCTGTTTTGCTTATTCCGCCTCTACATACTGATATTCAAAGTTCCTGTGACAGGAGGAGCGACAGCCTTCCCACACGCACCGGGGCAGCGCGAGCTCTGACACTCATCGATGATTGGGGGGGAACGGACTCGCCGTTCGGGACGTAAGCGACGCTTCCTGCTCCAAACAGCAACACGTGACGCGGCGTCAACGTCATCAACGTCATCACAGGTAAGGCAGGGAGCGGATAGAAATAAAACTGAACTCTTCAATCTCTGAGTCACTTAATGAGTCACGTAAGACCTGGTTAGCGATTAAAAACTGATATTTATGATGAGTTTTTATAGTGGGAGATAGTTATTTACAGTGGAACATCAAAAAGGGTAATTTAGAAAGGTATTTACAATAAGATTAATGAATTATGGTTTTAAAATCTCTTTTTAGGAATAGGATTTGAAAATAAATTTTTAATTTGCAGCATTTAACAATAGACTGATACATATAATTTACAGTTCCTCTTTAATAATGAACTTTAAAATGTACAATTAGTAAATGTTTTTGAAATTGGACTTCTAATTCTATGATTCAAATATGACATTTGCATTTGAAATCACTTTTTTCTTTTTTTAGTGACTCTCTTTTTCACTAATAAAGGAGTAATTTGAACCTGAATACATTTGCTGCAAGGAAAATTAAATTAAACAAGGTTCTAGACAACATTTACCATGGGTGCCAGGGTAGGCCCAATGTATTTTCATGAAGGAAATAATAATAATAATAATAATAATAATAATAATAATAATAATAATAATAATAATAATAATAATAATAATAATAATAGAATCATAAATATTTAAAAAACTGAAACAAGGTAAGTGCGCATCTTTTAGGATATTAAGTGTGCTACACACCCAAATTAGCAGACTCCTGATGAAAACTGTGATCCTATCTTAACATTTGTTGTTATTGATATAAATTAATTTCTAAATAATTATCAAAAGGAATTAAAAAGGCAAAATATCAAATTGTTCCAAGGGATGAAACAGTTTTTTTCTGTCAGAGTATATCATCATAAAAAAAAAAAAAGTATTACACTTCAAAAGCTGATGCTAATAAAGGATATCTTGATCTGATATTGGATATCAGCCCAATATCAGCCAAAGAACTGATATCGGATTACGTTGACCTGCGTTTATAATCTTAGCTATTGGCATGCTGATATTTGAAATAAAAAATAAATAAAACGGTTGCCATAATCATTTGCCTGCCCTGTTGGCTGATTTTCTGATTTAACAAGTTCCCTTATAACCCAGAGGGTGGCAGCAGTGACAGTGTCTTACCATTAACTTGTATGGAGACGTCATTTTAAGATATCTAGAATGAATTACTGACTATCTGAAATACACATTTCAGATATCTACAATTTAATTACGACTAGTCATAAAGTAAATTCAAGATATCTCGATCTTAGTTTTGAATAGTCATAATTCTAATTTAAAATGTAATTTAATATTTAATTCCACCATAATTCAAGATATCTTAAATGTATTTTAGGATAGGAGATATGGAATGTAATTATGGATGGTCAAACGAAACCGAATTTATGTTAAAACGGCTTGCCATACTGTCCCAAGTTAAATGCCCTAATTAATTTGGCATCCTAATTGTTCATATATTAACCCCTAATTGACAAAATGTACAGTACATTTGACCCAAGTAGAAGCTTAATTTTAGATATAATGAATGATTTTTAGCTCTATATTAATTTATATCGCCGTCTATCAATGCTCTGTGCAGGCCGCTCTTCTCTAAAACTTGCCTATGTATCTGACAGCAGATACATAGAATTTGACAGCAGTGGAGCTTTTGTTTTTGTGTATTATGAAAGATTCATCTGAGTTTTCTATGTAATTAAAGAACAACTCCATAACCGTTTAATGTGTATGTTATGGAGAACCATGCATGTTTAATACAGACAGCTTAGATGTGTTAATATGTGAGTAGATTTATTTGCAAGACCTACATGAAAATCTATGATATCTTTAATGATATGATCGGAAAATACAGAGGTTGTACTCATTTTTTTTCTTGTTGGTACAATGTGATTAGTGTAGATTGACCCTTAAATGGCTTCAGTTCCCATCAGTTTTCAGCCATCCCTATAAAACATTTCTGGCTTCACTGTTATCCAGACCAAGGGTACCAAAAGAATGAAGAGAAGATGGGACATAAAAGCTGTTTTTGTGTAAAAGAAGAGGAAAAAACACATCAAGAGTCGAGTTTGAGTAAGAAATAGTCCATAAATGTCTTTTGTGGTTAAGTTGAGGAATGAAGAGACGCAAGTGCATGACTATCTTTTAACAGCAAAGAAAGAAATTACCAGACTTTATCTTTGATCAGCACTATAATTGATAAAGGTGAGCAGAAAACATACATTTTCTCAATTTAACTGTTGTCTGGCCTGATCCATGGAGCGGACCAGACGTTAACAAGCCCCATGATCCTCCACAGTTGTTCTAAACAATTTAAGGGAAATATATATATGTATATATATATATATATATATATAAAGTAATGTTTGCTGATGTAGAAATAACAGATTTCTAGTTTCATGTTATTCTTTTAAAAAACGTTGCTCAGGTTATGGTATAGAAATGAAACCATTTGCAGCTGTTTCTACTGTTTGAAGGATTTTCACCTTTGTGTACGTAAAATATTAAACTAGAACAGATTATTTTTTGCACTGCTTTAAGGTAGCTGTGCAACCCCTTTAGGGTGTTGCATTTTGTTTCACATCTCAATGTAGAAATCTTTGCTTTGCAGGGGGAGTTTATGACTGTTCCAAACACTTAATGTACGAAAACAGCCCCTATTCATCACCTCCATGCTTTGCAGTTGACATGAGGTGTTTGAGCTGATGTGCTGCACTACATTTATTTTATATGTTTTGTAGTTCATTTAGATGCAGACATTTTTTATTTATTTATTTTCAAAATAAGAAATCAAATTTCTCCTTCAGCTCTTCCAAACAAAAGAATACTTTTTAATAGTTTCAAATTGTCACATCTTGTTTACGCTAACCCGACAATGGGCGAAGGCCTTGAAAATATGCTCAGTCATGATTCAAAGGGTCCTGAGGGGAAAGCAGCTGACAACAGATGGAGACCAAACAGGGACACAAGTCCTGCCTCTTCATGTGATAAATAAGGTCAGCTTTAGTTGAGTTAATGACCTGCTTACTGGTTCCTGTCTTTGAAAATAAGGAGTAAATATAACAGTAAACAATCTTTGATATTTTATTGTACACGGAAATTATAAACATGTTATATAAAAGCAGGAAACTCTGAATCAGTCAAAACATTTTATTTTTAATTATACAAATGTGACTTTCTATTGTCTATGAATCTGCCAGCTGCTGATGAGCACTAAGCCACGATCCATAATTTGTGAGTGCATGTCAGGCTGTGATGGCTTACAATCTCAGAGTGGCAAATGAATTCAGATAAACTCAGGGGTAGAACTAAACAGTTCCAGGAGGTGGGACACTGAATTAGTTGGGTCTTTTTTTTCCACAGAGGTGACATTAAGGCTTCAACGGCCCATGATGGGTTATTATTACAGATTGTGGCTTTGGTTGATGTATGAGGACATTCTGACAGTCGATAATATTTACTGATTGTCTCACATCTTAAGTAAGGTACACCCCCCATCCCCCCCAGTAGACATTACACATTCATGTACCAAAAATACTCATAGAAATCTCATAGAAATACTGGTATCATGGTCTGCAGCAGCAAGAAAACCAGTGTACATTTACACTTTTAACACAGAAAGTGAAAAAAACCTGCTGCGATGAGTCGCTGTGAGTCGACGTGTTGCTGAATTTCAGCATGATGCATCTTTAAGGGTTCCTTCACAGGCTGGAACGGTTTGGAATTTAATTCTAATGTTCCAGATCTGGATAGGAATGAAAAATAAAACAGAATATGGACAAAAAAAAAGATTTCCAGATGTTATTGCCTTGTCCAAATGGATCTTCTATCTTCATTTATGCAACACTCCACATTAGTGTTATAGCAGTTTCCATATTTAAAGCCTTAGTGTTAAAACATCTGTGGTATATGCTGAACTTTTTCGTTTTACATTTTGTGAATTTCATTAAAATAAACAGAGAACTTTGGGGAATCTCATATTTTTTCTTCGTCTGGAAAATAAAATTGGATTTCAACAGAAAAACATGCAGGAACCCTGATTTTTTTTTCTTAGAAACAGCAAAGTGCAAAGACGGCAAAAATCAGCAATATGCCTTAAAGCAGCATGTAGTAAACAAATGCACTGTGTTTTTGTGACAAAGCAGCTCCAACAACACCAGATGGCAGTCACTGGGAGGAATTAGCTTCTGTTGACTCAGGCATTCTGCTTCAAAGCCTAACTTGTGTTCTGACTAGATTAGGAAAAATCTCATTGGGTAATCAGACAAAAAGGCAACTACAAATAACATTTCTTAGGAAAATACTCGTTTTCTCTCCCACGTTAACACGAAGGCCTCTTACTTCGACAATAATACATTTAACAGTGTTGTGAAAATCTCACTGATGAGTTCAGTTTTCGTTTAAAGACACTAGAACAACAGAAAAGGCAACAATAAAGTCCGGGACGATAAGGTTCCACTGAGCTACCATCAATTATGTGCTTTATGGACATTTTAACACTTTGAACCAATGCATGCAACTTTCACAAATGCTGTATGTTGAGGAATAGGAGAAATAGCCTGAGTGGACTGGTTTTCTCCCTTTTTTGAGGTTCAGTCTTTACGATATCTCCTTCGCCATCTCGACGTTCTCGCTGATCATGCTGGGCTCCCCTTTCTGTGTCAGACTGCCTCCCTCCGTTCCAGTCACACCGGCAGGCTGCTCCTCCAGCTGCTCCAGTTCCTCCAGTATGGTCTGCACGCGGCGGACTCCGTCCCGCCTCGCCTGCCGTACATCTACACGGCCCTCTGGGTCAACAGAGTCCAATGCCAGCAGCTCTTTGGTCAAGAGCTCCTCCAGGAGCAAGTATTTCTTATCATTCTTCTTTCCACTGAAGCTTTTCACCTCCTGCTCCAATTTAGCCACTCTTTCGAGGATTTGCTGCACTTTAGCCAATCCCGGGTGGACTGGGCACTGAACTGCTGGCTCGACCTCC